TTTTATTATGTAATGCCAATTGCATTTAAAAAAAAAATGAGTGCCACCCGGTTTCTGCTTTTACAGGGGTGAATGTATATAAATAAATAAAATAACCCTACCCATTGAAGATCTTTTAAACACCAATCAGTTGAAATATGGTTAAGGATCAAGCACACTATGTGAAAGAGTATTTCGATACTCAAGGTGTTTCTGTGCAGGATGGAGCTCCATGGGCTTTCTTGGATGGCTGCAGTCCATTCGGCAGTCGTGTTAAGCCAGGCTTTGGGGTTCATTGTATGGCGTTTTCTCCATCTCATGGCATAAGGTAAAGCTCCCCATTGCTGTGCTCACCTCTACCAGAGTGCTCGTATTGATCCAGCTGCTCTGCACTGGCTTCGCTTGTGTTAGAGTGGAGAGTTTGCACCACTGTGGTTTAAGATAGGTTGAGATGTCATTATCTGGTGGATGAAGTTAATCCAGCTCAAAATCTTCATGTCTGATTTACTAAATCTTCTGCAGGTTATTAAAGATCGTGCAGGGTAGGGGGTGCCCCGGTGAGCACGCGCTGCAGGGAGCCATAAGGGCATCCTCTTCCTCAGGTCTTCCATTCAATCCCTGTAATACAGTCAATACAGAGAAGGGAGGCCCTAAGGAAGTTTGAAAGAAACATTATTGTGTTGCACTCGTTTATGGAGAGGATGCAAGAAATACCAAGAACCAACTAGTAAGATACCAACTTGTCAGATACCAGTGCGATGTCTAGCACCCAAGGTACTGCTGTAACGTAGTGATGCGGAGCCTCTGTTCTTAAGAATAGAATTCAATCCTTAAAAAAATGTGGATTCATATAATGTAGCAGACTGCCTATTTTTTTTTCTTTTATAAATAGAACCCAATAGGTTATAACAGACTTTGTAATATATGATCAGCATCAGAAGGCACAATCAAGCCATCAATTTTTTAAGCAGAAATCTTCTGTGCTACCAATAGAGAATTGCTTAAAAATTGATGGCACAATCTGGCCCACAGTGAACAAAGATCCCCAGAGCGAGAGTGAGTTGCGCTTCTGCTCGGCTCAGGACTGGTGGCCCAGAAACACAAGGCCACAGTCCGTTGAAATAATAGTCTGGTACCACTCAGAAGGAAAAGGTTTAAGAGAGAACTATACTACCCCCAAAAAAAAAATGAACCTTGAAAAAAAAAGAACCTGTAAACCATAGCCATTTTCTTTGCAGTGAAAGCAAATAAATTTTGCATGCATAAATACACATATAAATGAAGGACCTAGCCATTCTCTGAGCAACAGAGAGACTCCCAAGTGCTCAGGAATGAAGGTTGTTTCCTTTATTTGTGTTCTGTTGTTACAGTGTAAACGCATTCTGCATAAACATTTTGTTGCATTAAGTGCTACTACACTTAGTAATTGCAGATTAGAAAACCAAAGCAGGGCCTCTTCTGTACCTCAGAGGCTAGATTTGGACACGTACCTATAACTGTAATAAAAAGGCTTGTGCCATGCATCATTATTTTTAATCAAGTAAAATGCATTTGAAAGTACAATCTCTAGTAATTGAAAGCAAAGAGATTTCAGCTGGTGATTCTCTCTCCAAAGGCGAGGTGGCTGAAGTTGCCTGTGTTATGCAAAAAATGTTTAAAAGACAGTGGGGGTTGGAAGGCACCCCTCTGTACTTGCCGAGGGCCAGGTGACAGGTGGCAAGCTAATTTTTTTGATCTGCCTCCAAAAGAACTTTGGGGAAGTTCCAGCGAGCCAAACTCCAGGGGAAGCCACAGAGATGAAGAGTTGCGAAGTAAACAACTGTGGATTTAAGGTCATGCTGCGAAGTGAAGGGGAGCAGACTCCTCGTGTTCTCCTGAGCAGGGAGGTGCCTCACCACAGCATCAGCAGAGAATAACTCAGCTCCTTTCCTTCCCAGATAGTTTATCTGAGGTGCCAACAAATCCAAAACCTATGCTGTATAGCACTATAACCTTGCATTGCCCCTGCTTTGTGGAAGTAGAGGGCACAAGAGTGGCAGTTGGGCACTTTGAGGCGAAGTTTCCATCATGGGGGCAGGATGAGGCGCCGGCCTGTGGAGCGGCTGGGCTCGCGGCCGCGCGGTGTCGCCTCAGCTTTGCCCCCGTGCGCTGCTCGGTGCCCGTGGGCAGTGCCCGTGTTCACAGCGCAGCCTCTCCGCAAGCTCAGACGGGCTTGATGCCCTTCTGAGTCACGCCAGGACCATCCCAGATGATTTCCATACGTTTCTTCAGATTTCCAAGGGCAGAGATTGCACAGCCTCTTTGGATACCTGTGTCCAAGATTGCCTGCTTTCATGGCAAATAAATTTGATTTCGCTGTGTTTTAAGGCCCTTCCATGAGGTAATGGAAGACGTCTGCAGGCTGGAAGGTTGCACTCTTTTCCTTCGAGGACTTAACTTTTTGCCCTCAGGAGTGAATCACAAATTTCTGCGTAACAGCTCTGACACAGTTTTCTAGGTATCCTCACCCCATGGTACTGGCAGGCTCCAGCCTGACCCGTTTTAATTCAGTTAACTTGGAAAAACAAATATAGCACAGCACACTGAAGACCTTACATGGCTGCTCTCGCAGTGTTTCTGGTTCTTAGAGGCATCAGAAAAACCTGCCATTGAACTGCAACTTTTCATGTTAGATATTTAGCCTTGAGGTGATTTTCTTGTTGTTGTTGTTAAGTTTAAAGGTAAACTATTCGACCATATTTGAGCTATCGGGATGTGAAGAGAATACAGGCAAATAGTCCTTTGCATGGAACTAATTCCCAGTCTACAAGACGCTTTTTGAGGAGATACTGGATGAATTTGAACGCTATAGTTAACTGGTGGGAGGCAGCATCATCTGCATGTGCCCCAGGGACGTCGGAGTTGTGTGGCAGGAGCCCTGCTCATTCCTGGCTTTCTGGGGAAGTCCAGCAGTCTGGAGGCTCTTACCTTTTTTCTCACACTGCTTAATTTCCTTCTGCATCTTTTTCGCGCATGTGAATCTGCTTCACTCGAGCTTTGCTTTTGTTGATTAATTTAATTTGGGAGTAATTAAGGAGGCTAGCTGTTTTTGTTTTTCCCAAACAGTCCAGTTACCAAAAGGGCAAACCATCTAAAATTAATTTGTTTCTCTGGGCAAATCAAAAAAGAAGAAGGCTTAAATATACAGATGTACTCAATGTTTTACTTTCAGTGATAAGCTTTGACTGAAGGGATATGTGTGTTTGCTACATTTCTAAGTCATTAATAGGAAATTGTAGTGGAACTTGATGCTTTATAGTTTGAGATTTTTCAGGTGGCAAAAATATGTGTAAAAGGCCTTTTTGGCCTTTGACAATAGCATTGTCAAATGCTAGCTCAACTGGAAGAGTCATTGCAGAAGCTGGAAGACTTTTGTTAGGACTAAAGTTTTAAATTGTAGGCTATGGCATTTTCTTGTCTTCTAAAAACATGGTTTAAAAATCTGTTTCAACAGTTCTTTTAAATCTTATATATATGCCACAGTTAATTTTGAAAAAGGCTCATGGGTTTAGGGAAGCAAGTGGCAAAGCTGGTATCCAGGAATTGAATCTCTAGCTGTGTAATTATGCATCCATGTGTGACTCGGGCACCCATGCTGGATGGGTGCATTAGCTTACCATATGTGCGGTTAGTTAAACCCTGTCTTAGAAAGCCTACGTTCATTCCAGATCTACTCCCTAAGCCATTTCTAAGCAACAGATCAATTGCTGTAAGATCTGTAAGCTTCCTGAAGCGAGGTATCTAACGGGAATGGATCACTTCAGCGCACTCCATAATCCTGCCCTTGCTGTTGGGAATGGGGTGATTTTCCCACTCTCCAAGTTGGCTACAAACGGGGATGACGTGGAGTCCAACGTTGGTTGGCCATGCACGAGTCTTGCTCCCGTTCTCCCTGGGGAGGAGGGCTTTGGAAAAGAGCTGTGCCTGGGGCATAGGGAGGAGAAGGGCTTGGAGAACAGGAACTGTTGCAAGGACTCATTGGGTGACTGGATCATCGTATGTACTTGGCAGCTGATAGGCTCCTCAGCCTGAGCTGCAAAGCAGAAATAGTCATAGAAAGCAACTCTAATTTTAATAATGACTTTTAACCTGCTGAGGTAATATGCTTCATACAGAGGTGTGAGTTCGTCTGGGTTTTGGGGAGGGTTGGGAAGAAATGGGCAGCAGCATACTTGGTTTCCGAGTGTGGTTAATGTATGGGAATGTGCAGTAATGTCAGGAATGCTCCAGAAATGTGCTGTGTGTCCCTGAATTTCCTATTTTGGTCTAGAAAACAGCTGGTGGTCATGGGGAGCCCTGTGGAGGCCATGGAGTGGTGTGAGCAGAGCGGTCCTGCAGGAAGGACACTGCACTGTCCGTCTGTCTCTCTCTTTATATACCTGTATCCATCTATATATGTCCATATGTACATATAAAAATTTTGCAGGTGCTACTGAGTCTATGATTTCTTAGAAACTCACGAGAGTCTAAGTGTTCTAGGAGGGAGCATGAGCTTTCGGGAGAGACATTCAAAAAACCTGAGGTGGACCTTTAGACTCTTTCAGTATAAACTCTGGAGGGTTTTCACAGCCTGAAAAGTCATTTTGTTTGTTTTGTCGTTGCCTGCTTTCGCCAGTTTTCTTTGGGGAGGAGACAGGTCTGTGCAGTGTGTAAGCCCATTTATGCCTCCAGCGCACCCCTTGCTGTACTTGTGTGGGGTATTTTAAGCATGATGACCTCCCCGTGTTGATATGTCTGTGCTGCCTTTCTAAATTCAGCCATTGGCTTCAGTGCAGGTTTCCAGAAATACAAACTTAGGACTGAACCAAAACAAGCACTCCGCAGAAGTAGCTGCGGTGCACTTAGGTGCCGTGGCTGTGACCCTCCGGTAAACGTTAAGCACAGAGCGCTACTTTCAGCTGCCTCGCCGTATGTTGGAGCTCTGTCTGTGTGATTGCTTTCTAACCTGCTCTTTCTGTTTCTTCATGCTTTCCTGGATTCAGAGAGAGGTAAATGATTTTCCTTTTTTTCCTCCTTATTCTCTGTGTTTATCTTTCTGGCTTGCACCAACCAGCGCTCTTATGAGTTTGCTTGTGTCGGGGAGCGTTGTCATACCAAAGCTGAACCTCAAGGAGGTAAATGCGAATCTGTCCTGTTTGCAGCTTGCTATTAATACTGCTATCAATAGTGTGCTCAGGTTGACTCCATTTTTTTTATGTCCCAAGTCCTGAATCTCCTAAAACAGTTTCAAGTCATATAATACAGTGGTTCTTTATATTTGTTTCTGGTGGTTAAGAGTTTAAAATTTAGATATTGGTGTTCTCTATAATTCTAAATGCAGGAAATTTATATTAAAATGCCATATTCTATTTTAAAAATAAATAGCATTGGGCTAGCAGCAGGAGATCTAAGACTTAAATATAGTGAGAACTGGAAATTTTGAAATGGATGTGCTATTTTTGATCCTTGCTCCGGATGTGGTGGGGCTGGCAATGGCCTCCAGTGTTGAGGTCGCCACTGGTGTGTTCCTCTGTTCTCCCAGACAACGGGGCCATTGGGGATTCTCCCCGAAGCCTCCTGCGTGCTGGGACCCGCACAGTCGCCTGTTGTAGTCACATGTGTGGCGGCTTTGTGTCCAGAGCCGCTTCCTGACAGAATTGTGCTCCCCAAATGAGGTCCCGCTTGTGTTTGCTCTTCTAATTGTGAGGACTCGATAACAGGGGCTGGGTGGGAGGAGTGATGTTTAGAGATGCAGCTGCTCGGGTTTGCTTGGGGGAATATAATGAGAATAGTTTACAGGCTCAGCTGGGTTTTAATCAATTCTTCAGGCAGCATTGGCCCAGGGAAATGTTTGAACTTTTGTGATTATGGCTGTGCAATCTAATGTAGATTTTGTGCTTGCAAGAAGTGACGATCCTCCCCGACTAGCACAGGCAAAAGTGTGCGGCAAGCGCGGCACCGAGTTGCGCCTCTGCGTGATCAACATTGTTCTCGATCGGAATGACAAAGAACAAAGGAGACCTGTGAGCATCGTTATAAAACAGACCTCAGAGATGACACGAGCTGGTGGTGTTCCCCCCTGCCGTCTTCACTTAAATGTGTAGTAGTGCTTCGAGCATCTCAGTCGGGTGCATTTCTTTGTCAAATCTTGAAATTCTGTCCCATGGGAACAAAACAGGCGGCAGGGCGAGGAATCAGCGCCACAGCTGGGGAATGCAGCGCAGAGCTGGGGCAGCCATGAGACATCAGAGAGTAACCGGGGGGCTGCGTGCGCTGGGGCTGCCGACTGGCGCCTCTGCGTATCGCACCAAGTAGCCCCAGCTCCTCCTCGAGAGTCAGCGAGTGACCTTCTCCAGAAACAAAGCGAGCCCGGCCGTGCAGGAGGGGATAATTTGCGCTGCAAATGTCGTGCCTGAATTAGGAGAAGAAGCGGCACCACACCGGTGCCAGATCTCTCACTGGCAAAGTCCATAAATGCAGAACCAGTGGTTTGCTGTGACCAAGCCCAGTTTTAAATGGTGTGAGAACTGCAGTGAGAAAATGCTCCCAAAGCCTCTGCTTGGGAAGGGTTTTGTAGTAATTTGGGTCAAAAAATAGCGACCAGGGTACTGTACTGGTGGACACATCTCCCATGCTGGGCTCTGGCTGGGAGGCGACCGGATGGGTACAGGAGCTCTGCATGGAGCTATTGGAGTGCAGAAAAATTGCAAGTTTCTTGAGCATCTTTGAGATTTCCAACAGGGTCAACACAGCTACCAGAAGCTTCCCCCAGTTCTTCCAGCTCCAACAGATTTTCTTTGGAGTGAGTGGAGGGGATGCAATGGCTTTGCTTGGTGTCTCTCTATATCTATGCAGGTGGAAAGTCCTCCCGATTTTCTTGCTGCTTTCACACATTGCTGGTCAACCCTTTGCTCTACAGCCAAGTAATACCTGGACATTGTAGACTGTGCAAACCATGCACGGGCATTTGTGGCAATCAGCAGTCATTTTCTGTAGGTTATTCTGGATTAATTCGAATCACTCTTTGACCAAGCCCAGAGGATGTCATTTTCTGCTTCAAGGATTCTTGTTGTAATTTGTAATACATAAATCTATGAAGCAATTTACATTTTCCTGCCTGTGTTTCATTTTAATACAGTTGTTTTATATTGATGCAATTTAATTTTGATTGATAAGAGTAAAAATTTCAAGCTTCAAGGCTAAGGGTTTTGTTTGTCATTTTTTTTTCTTTTCAAGAAAAAAAAATATGAGTTAATGCAGTTTTACGCTCAAAAAAGTCACCATTTACAGTGAGAAGGTAATGGCAGCCGTGCTGCTCGTTAGGATGTACTTAATTGGGGTGTCTCCCAGGACTCTGCCTAATAGTGGCAAATGGCCGTGACTGCTGCTCCAACAGGACAGCATTAGCATAAATTGCATTTAATGTGATTACATTCACCCAGGGCTGAGCAGCTAAGTGGTGCTTAGCCAGGTGTTAAATAGGTACCGCTATCTAAGTTCTAGTCAATTATTATAGACATTTGCCAATTAAAAGAGGGTAAAAGAGCAAATAAAAATGAAATTCCTTTCTACTTAGCACCTTATTTTGTCTTTGCACTTCTTTAAATCATTTCTTAAACTGTCTCTCTACAGTCTTCTATCAAAATTAAGCAGTCTGTACTGCATTTCTAACTGTTCGGCAGAGCCAGTCTTACTTTCTTGTACAGAGAAATGAATTGGTTACTGATTTTTTCTGATATTCTGATATTCCCCTCCAAAAAAAGCTAATTAACATCTGGTTCCTATATCCTGAAAAATACTGGTGAATGGAATACATGTAAAAATGATTAAAAATATATGATACACTCTGGAGTGGCAGAGTTGCCCTCCTAGTTGCCTATCCCACCAGTTTGCTCATAGGGAATTTCACATGTGCTTGGATCAGCAGGACCTCGGCCTGATCCAGGTTGTGATCCGCTAAACCTGCCTTGGATTTTCTGCTTTTCCTTGTTTTCCCAGCAAGGTGGACAGACAGGATTAGTAAGTAAAGGCATTTGCCCTTTTCTAAAAATTCTTATTGCAGACATGTCACTCTGCTCCTCTCTCTTCTCCAGGCAGCTAGTTGCACATAAATCTCACTTAAATGTTAATCAGCTTCAAGCGAGCTGCAGTAAATGGAGATTTGCAGGTGAAGTGACCCAGAAGGGATCCCAAGTGAAAACAGTTTCAGAGAGGAGTCTTGAGGCCTGTGTTGGGAGTTTGAAGACTTCGGGCAAAGAAGCAGCGTTGCCGTCTGGTCACGTGTATGCACCTGTAGAGCTTCGAGTTTTATTTTGTTATTGGTCATGCTGAAAGCGGGTGCCCTGGGATGCCCAAAGCCGTTTCCTCCCTCGGGAGCGACACGTCGTGCTGCCAGGAGGAATCACAGAGATTGCTGATACCGTCGGTGCCCTCCTGAAGCGAGGAGGAGGCTTGGTGGCTAATTTTGATGGATGGTTTGGAAACAGATGGTGCTGGCAGGGTGTGCACTAAGCTGCACTCCTGCAGGTTTGGAAAAACTCAGATTTCCTTCTCTGTCTCACGAGATTTACAAACGCGGGCACTGATCCTGGAAAGGTTTGTGCGGATCCTCAGCCTGCCTGTGTTAGCCCCATTAACGCTGCACAAGCTGTTGAGGCGCTTGGCCTTGGGCACTGGCACCTGGGTCTGAAAACGCCTGGGAGGGCCTCGCAGGGGCCGGCGCCGCTCATGCCGAACCAGCTCCTGCTCCGTTCGCCCCCCGGCACAACCGCGCGCTCGGCTGCCCCGTTCGGGAGCGCCCCCGGCTCCACACGAAGTGCCGAGCACCGCCCCTTGGAGCTGGGGGGGATTACAGGCCCCCCGGCACATTCGGGCCCTGTCCCCTGCACCGCGGCCTCCTCTGGCGGAGGCAGGTGCCTCCTCAGCACCCACTTGGGCAGCCAGCCCATGCTTTCCAGCCCTAAGAAGTAGCATTCCTAGCACTTCCCGAATGGAATTTCATAAAACAAAGGAAAGAGGCTTCCCGTAGCTGTAGGAATCTGCAGTGGAGACTCTCAACTCTGGCCTAAGTCAAAAGCCTTGCAATTTGACTAAAAGTAACATTCTTAGGGGCTGTATTGGCTTTTGGGAAGCACGGAGCAGGTCCATCTCCTGTGGGGACCTCTCGCAGGGCCAGCAGAGTTGCAGGCGCTCCTGTGGCAGGACTAGAGTGGCCCATAAATCTCCTTGCACCTGGAGTATCACACGGGGCGTCCAGTATCCATAGCGCTCATGGGATTGCTCTCAGCACTGGTCTGAATTGAGGGAGATTACGTGGCCTGGGCTCCGCAGGGCAACTTCTTGTTCCTGTGGCTGGAATTAGGCTTGGCAGGAGCAGAGGAGTGAGTTGCTCACCAGAAAGCACATGTGTGCTTCGATGGCGCCCGCCTTTCAAAACAGGAGCACATCCACTCCTTGGGGCAACTGGGCTCCCCCTTGTCCCTCTCTCTGTCTTTAATATGCTGTTGAAAATACTCTCATCTAAGGTGTTTCCCAGGGAGTGGGCATAATTATGAGCTTCCTTGCTTTATGACCAAAATCTTGTCTTGGATCTTTACAGAAATCAGTCCTTGGTTTAATGCAATTTTACTTGTTTAGTTCAATTGCAAAGCACAGGAGCTACCTGTGATGGTCATGGCGCGCGCCAGGGCACTACCAGAGCTACCAAGTGAGGGGAGGACCAGGATTTCTTGTGCTGCTGCAAACTTGGGTTTTGCTCGCAAGATCATATGCTCTCCAAGGCCAGGGATGACGTGCATTGGTGGTAGCTCAGCAGGCAGAGCATAAGATGCTCTTCCTGGGGTCATCTTGTGGAGGGAACTCATGAGTCGCTTGTTTGCACGTCCTCAGAGGGAAATTATCAGCTTGACGTAAATGCTTGTGAAGCAGATGGCTTTCAGTGTTATTTTAAGTCAATGTGGGCACAGATTTCAGCTATTGCATCTGCACGCTGAAGGAGTAGACTTTGATCCAGGAATTAGGTGTGTGCAGCAGCCACTTTGCTACCCTGCAATGATGGTCACTTGTCAGCAAGTTGTTCTTGCATGTAAAAGGGAAGAAATTTGGACTCAACAATGTTAAGTTTGGAACTTAAGTCATTTAAAAGACGGTAAAACCAAAAACATAGGAAAAAAATCACAGATCCTTAGGTAGTCTAGAAACTTACTGCTCTTGGACCAACCAGTTGTTGTCAGAGCTCATAAACTGTATGGATGGTTTTTTTGAATCTGACCATTTCCAAATACTTTTGTCTACAGCTCTTCCAGGAACATCACTTATGTTAACCAGCTGATCCCACAATCTCAAGTTCTGTGGGTTTTTTTGTGGCACTTGCATTCCCTTTTGTCCCGTAGTTGCTGGTTTTCTGGGTGCTCAGCTGCAGGTCAGCGCCAGGGTTCCCTGGAGGACCTGGGTATCCATCTGCCACAGCTGCAGGGATTCCCTGGGCAATATCCACGGGAATTCCTCACCTCACTGAGCACCTGCAGCCAAGGCAGTCCAGATACATTAAACCTTGCTAGGGATATTCATGGGCTTCAGTGTAGACTGAAGTATTTCTATATAGGAAACCTGGGGTTTAGGAAGGGAGGGAAGATCAGTTTTTTGGACACATGGACTTTCCCTGGAAATCCCATGGAAATCTGGAGGTAGCAGCAGGATCACAGAGTAGGATTGGGCTGCAGCTGCTCAGGGGCACATAAATAAACAGCTAGAGATCCAAATAGTATCCAAAAGGAATTGGGGTGCCCCAAACCCTTAACCCGCTTTAACTTTTTTCAGAAGAGCTCTGACTAACCAGAAGCCCAAGGACAGGTAAACTTTGTCTTGCATTTCCATCCCTCAGAAGCCGTACTGTGCTGTGGTGACTGGCCAATAAGATGCAAAAATCTCTTTTGTAGGACATCTTTATTTAACTCTTGAGAAAAATAAGGTCAGAAATTTAGGCCAATTAGTGTGAGCATTAGCTCAGCAGGTTCACAACTCCCTTATATAACCAGATCCCTAATTACTATCTGCATGTTTTAAGCACTTTATACAGTACTTTGAAATGCAGTTTTTCTCTAGCAAAATTGTATGCTGCTTGCTGGGTGTTCGAGCGTTTATGAATGGCATGTGTTCCTTTCTGGATTAATCTGTGGTTCTGTGCCCACTTGGTCTTCAGTGAAATATTTCAGTAAATCTTCCCATGTATTTACAGTTGCATTTGAAATTCTGGGTTATAAATTCAATAAGTTGCCAGTATGAGGAAATTATAATGAGCTCTTTAATTACATAGATTAAGCATCAAAGATTAGTTATGTGCTTCATGGGCATGCAGTTTATTAAACTTGTAGATCTGCTTTGGCTAAGGCGTATGTTTTACCCTCTGACAGCTGCAATACACACTTGTTAAATTAAAGGAGGACTTGCTGATTTGTAAATACTGCTGTGTCTAACGTGTTAATTCATTTTGTTTGCACAGGGACTTTGCTTATGTGGCAAGGGACAAAGACACAAGAATTCTGAAATGTCATGTGTTTCGATGTGACACGCCAGCAAAAGCCATCGCCACCAGTCTGCACGAGATCTGCTCCAAGGCAAGTGGATTCAAACAAGTCAGTTGTTCATTAATCTTCTGAGAGGTCCCTGAGGAAAAAGCACATAATCAGCAACCTTATGCACTGTTATTTTTGTTTATATCCCTGGCAATGATAAATAGGTCGGAGAGTTTGTAAAGGAAGGGACACAACTGGCATCAAAACTAATGGTGGGCTGAGTATTTAAATTAGGAGTTGGTAGAAGATGGTCGTGCATGGTACTGATTTGACAAGGGGGCATGCAGACTTGAGTGCTTTTGTGGTCATAAAGAAGCAGGGTGTTCAAATTGGCAAAACACTCAGTTTTGATAAATGGTAATATTAAAGGCTGCAGATAAAACAGATTGTGTTTGAACGTGTTCTTCAATGCGGAGATTCCCTGGTTGTTAATTTTGCCTTTTTATTGCACGCTCAGTTCACGAATGTCCTCTCTGCAGTTGTTTACGGCAGCGAGGAGGCAGCACACGTTTTGCAGTGCTTTATAGAGAGGCACTTAAGCAAAACTACTTGAAATTACTTCTTAATTTCTTTATTGAGACGAGGTGGCTTTGCGGCTACCTTCTCCTCGTTCACTCGACCCCTCTGCTGACTCTGGGCTCCTTCCTGAGCCAGCGCAGAGCGACTGCCGCGCTCGGGTGGCAATGCTGCCGTGCGCCCCTGGGACAGCAAATACCTCAAAAGCAGCCAAGCTCCAAGCACAGAGGAGAAAAGTGCCCGCAGCATCTTCAGTTCACGTGTCCTAGCACCGGGCTCTCTGCAGGGGTTAGTTACCATGAACAGTCGCCAGCACATGGACGCAGATGGCAGCGTTCCCTGCACGAGTGTTGGGAGACGCTCCCGTGTGTGCTGGAGGAGGGCCTCTTCCCAAGGATACATCCACAGGGAATAACCAACCAAAGTGATTATTTTGAAGTGTTTTCTTTTCCTCTTTTGATAATGTTTTGATAGTGTTCCTCACTTTGAGGAAGAACAGGGTGCATTTTGCATGACATTTTTAATTTCAGAAGAAACACACAAATTGCGGGAAAATTAAATGCCGCAGCAAATCGATCAGAGAGGGACGTGAGGAAGGAACACTCCTCTCTGTATGTTAAATATTTATATTTTTCTCTACATTAATCCTCAGTGAAATTTTGCTGTTGAGAAAAATAGCTAAAACAGCTAAAGGTTTTTTACTCCTTCAGCAAACTTTTATCTGGCCTTGGAAACTTCTCAAGTTCCTTATGTAGATAAGGAATGCTGAAAAAAATGGAGAAAAGAAATGTTGTTACCACAAAGAATAACCTGTTTAGTCATGTACTTTTTGACTTATTTCAGGTTTCAGAAATCAGGGTTGTAATAAGAATAAATTTATACTTGTAGTTGTTACTGTACTCCGTTTTGGAAAAAAAAATGCTATATTGTCACCATCTTCTCCAGATTATGGCTGAACGGAAGAACGCTAAAGCGATGGCTTGCAGCTCCTTACAAGACAGAGCAAACATTACCCTTGATGTTCCCCTGCAAGGTACTGGGTTTCACAGTTAATATCTGAGGGTTTGTCTGATTTTAGATATATTCCCTTCTCAGTGTTTTTTTTTTTTTTTAACTGAAATGGATAATATTGGGTAGGAGAAGCAGGAGTGAAGTCCCATCCTTTAGTTACTATATCTGACAGTGTCTGTTATTGCGCTGAATTGAACATTTTTATTGCTTGACTTCACAGTAATGCAGTTCTGCTCAGTCAGGTCAACCTGCGTAGTTTCCTCTTTTAGTTCAAAATACAAATATTTGCAAACGCCACCTAACTCAGCTGGGCCAGCTTGCACATACTGTCCTGATAACATCAAAATACCCTATGACTTGAGACTGCACTTATTGGCCAAACCTGCCTCAAAAGCAGAACATGCTCCACTTAATTAATTGGATTCAAAGGAGCTACAGGATTATGGATTTTAACATCAATTTTAGCACCTTTCAAAACGAGTGGCGTAAGTGTGGCAGTTTCTGTGTCTTGCACACTCTAGTGCATGGTAAAATAAAGTTGCCTTTAGTAGTTATAGCTCTACGGTTGATGTTTTTGAAGTTCCCTAGGAGGACAAACACACTCGTGTTGCTTTACAGGAAGATGTGCACTTGTGGCTTGTGCTGTGTCTTCTTCCTGCATCACCTGTGCAATTTCCTGCTCAGACAACAGTATTGATTTCTTGTAGCCTGTGTATAACATATTGATTGGGATGGCATTAAAAACAGATTCCTAATTTTACATAGTTATGCAATGAGCTTAAGTCTCTGTGTCTTACAGGCATATTAAGAAATAGAGAAAATGCATATTAATATTTTAGCAATAAAATTGACCTCGTTTTTAGTTTAAATGAAGAACCAGAGGATGTAGCATTCTCTCTAATCCCCTTGGCAATCACTTGGCATTACCCTGGTATGAGACAAGGGAGCATACACTTGGTTTAATCAATAGAGTTCCTTCAGAGCTCAATTACTCACTGAATTATTTCGTGCCATTGATGAAACCAAACCATGTTTTCCCTGCTGTGAATAATGATAAACAGAACCTGATTTCTCTTTTTTTTTCCCCACGCAGTAGATTTCCCAACGCCCAAGACGGAGCTGGTGCAGAGGTTCCACGTGCAGTACCTGGGCATGCTGCCCGTGGCCAGGCCCGTGGGTAGGTCGCGCTGCCGCTGGTGCCAGGCGCCCGGCAGCGCTTCCCGAAGGGCGGCAGCTCTTGGCTGCTGTTTCTGTCCCTGCCACAGAGAAACACAAGTTTCTCTTAGATTCTTTAGGTTTCTTATGTTTCTGCCTGTGTTCATGTATTTGTTTTGACGAGCACGTTTTCCTCTGTGTTAGGAATGGATACTCTGAACAGTGCTATCGAAAGTCTCATGACCTCCTCCAGCAAAGAAGACTGGATGCCAGTTACCATGAATGTTGCTGATGCTACTGTCACAGTCATCAATGAAAGAGTAAGGCCGACTGTCCTGTTTAAAGCAAGTTTAAAAATAAATGAACATTGCATGTGAGGAAAACAAACAGCAGGAGAAAGAGTTAATTTGTGCTAGAATTCATGTGCTTATTTTGCATTTTCTTCCTCTCTAGGTCTGTGATTCTCCACACATCACTCTTTTACAGCTTTGGCTTTATTTACCATTCCAAGCATGTCCTCAGAAATCATTTTAAGTGTCCATTAGTATTTTACACAAATTCAGTATTATTCTTTCTAGAAGTTTTGACCCTACAATGTTGTAGGTTAAACCCTAAGGGGCAATGTGTCCTAAACTGCATTTACCTTATTCTGGTTAAAGAAACAAAGAATAATATTTCCTAGAATGTTTCTTTTACATGTGTTTGTCAAAGAGGTCCTAAAGCAACGTCTCCACATGCTGGTGTATATGGGGTCATCCTAACCATGTATTTCTTTATAGAACTGCAGCATCTTTTTTAAACAAGCAGTATCTAAATGCACCATATGCTCAAGGCCCTGGGCCTCTGGTAAGGAGAGATCCAGTCAGGCCTCAGCATGCTGGCCTTTTTAAACAAGCAGTATCTAAAATGCACCATATGCTCAGTGCTAATGCTGAAGGCCCTGGGCCTCTGGTAAGGACAGATCCAGTCAGGCCTCAGCATGCTGGCTACAGGCAGCTAAATAAAAGAAATTCCACACTGCTCCATCAGTGTTGCTCCCATTTAATCAACTTAAAATTGAAAGTGAAGTTTAGAGAATATATAATAGTAATGAAAAACCACTTGATTCCATGCCCAGAATGAAGAGGAAATCATGGTGGAGTGTCGTGTCCGGTTCCTGTCCTTCATGGGAGTGGGCAAGGATATCCACACGTTTGCCTTCATTATGGATACAGGGAACCAGCATTTTGAGTGCCACGTTTTCTGGTGTGAGCCAAATGCAGGCAACGTATCAGAAGCTGTTCAGGCTGCGTGTATGGTAAGTGATCTCTTTCAAAGACATTTAGTAGTGTCTTTAGTTCTGTTGCTACCTAAGAAAATAAAAATCTTTTCCAAATTTGCAATTACATTAATTTCCTGAGACAGATAAAGTAAGAAAAGATAAAACTAGCAAATGGGATTATGATACAGTTAATAGATGAAAAATAGGTGTGTTTAAGTTCAAACTGTCCCTTCAGAGAGCAGCATTCCTTTAACAGTCTCACCTCTTTACCACTACAACCTCTGTGCATGTCAGGGATTTGTTATTCAAGTTATGCTGCGAAAACATTTTGCTCAAAGTCATGTTATACATCCCAGTGACTGTGCAGTCCCTGTTCAAGAAGAGCTGAATCCCCAAAACTCATCTTCTGTTTTTCAACGGTTTGTCCCTGTGATGTAGTTTCTGTGTCAGGTGTCACTGGAGGGTTCCTGCCCATGTGAACAGAGCAGTGGCCCCTTGATTTCAGCAGGGCTGTTTCTCACTGTCAAATGGAGGTTCCACAGTGTTTCACACAAAGTATTGACATGTACCCGGGATGCTCCGGGTGCCGGCGGGGTTGCAGAATGCCTTTGCTCTGTTGCAGCTGCGGTATCAGAAGTGCTTGGTGGCCAGACCCCCCGCGCAGAAAGTTCGGCCCCCGCCGCCTCCTGCGGATTCGGTGACCAGAAGGGTCACGACTAACGTGAAGAGAGGAGTCTTGTCCCTCATTGACACTTTGAAACAGAAACGCCCCGTCTCCGAGCTGCCCTAGCTGCGCGGAGGAGAAGCTTCTCGTGACGGTTAGCTGGAGGTAACAGTAGCTACGCTAAGGACAGTGAACTGACCGTGTTCGGCCTTCCATTTTACATTGCAATGCTTTGTCTTCGGAGAATTTATCTATATCAAACAATGTTAGACGAGCATGTTCTCTCATTCTTGCCACCGTCGTATGATATGAAAAGAAGCATGAGTAATTTTTTTGCTGTCAGTGAGTTACATCATGAGCAATGGAGGGTCTTTTTCTGATTGTAAATACGTGAACGTTACCTAAATTCACACCCAAGAAGAATATGGCCATGTCCCTCCTAGGGAACTCGTGCTAACATCCTTGGAGTGAGTGATGCCTGAGTCGATGGTTTTCACTGTTTGAGCTGGATTTGTCACAAATCAATCTGAAATCCTACAGCACTTCTGCTCTGTTTTCAACACTGCAGTAAGACCCAAGTAATTTAGTTACAATTGAATTACTTTAAATCCTGTTTTGTATTTTTTTTTCCTTTGACGAAATACACCTGTTAGTTTTAAGATGTTTGTCAGCATTCGCCTAGCAGTGGCTTTCCCAGCTCTCCCTGACGAGCTCCTGGACCACCGTGTCACGTCATGCCCTGGTACTGCTTCTCTGTTGGCAGAGCAGACCCGCGTTTCCTACCTGCGCAAAGCTGGAGAACCCACAGGCATTTCGAGTGCTCAGCTTGGGGGCTTGACTGGAGCCTTTCCTCTTTGACTGTACACGTGGACACATTGACTGTCATTCTCCCAAGTTTTTAATTAAGGCATCAAATCAGAAGAACAAGCTAGTCAGTGGTTTTACTGTGTGAAAACTCTTAGAGACTCAAATGTTGCGTTCTTCCCCCATATGAGTGTTTGATCAAATGTTGGATTCAGCGTCTGTTTGCACAGTTTCCCCCTCCCTGCACAGTTTGTTGCTGAATTTTCCATGCCGCGAAAAGAACAACCAGGTCTTGTCATTTACAGAATTCCACGCAACTTTAATGCTCTGTGACAAAATAAGGAAGGAGTTTTCTAACGGAACAGAGTGCTTCAGGGGTTGCAACCTGGTTGCAAAGCTTTTGCTCCAGAGGCTTCCTGCAGTCACCCTGGTCCACACTGCTGCAGATCACGACGACGCAGCGCAGTGTTGCCCCTACAGTTGTACCTGGCACCAAGTCTCAGATGCAGTTACGCAGCTTTAGTTTCTCCCCTCACCATCTTCTGTTAGATCTGCAGTTTCAGACAAATTGTGAAAAGGGAATGTGAGAAATGCTTTTAATTAGTGTTAAAAAATGTGGTGCCTCCATTTATAGATGTTTTCCAAAGCATAACCATCAAGTCCGCAAACTTGGTAATACTGTAATTTTAAAAGAACACTCTCAAGGCTGCTATGGCAAGATTTTTTTTCTACTTTAATACGCAAGGGATTGTTAGACTGTTTTCTCTCTTTGCTTATTAAATAAAAAAATCAATAGCCACCCCTGCACAAGGCAAGTTACGAATAAAGGAGAAAGGAATGATGATTCAAGAAATTTCTGCATTGAAAATGTAGGAAAATTATTAAAATAAATTCAAGCTGATGTCTGAGCAGGTGGCAGGCAGGCTCGCTGTGCAACTAGTGTCATTAGAGTTCTGTGAGAACTTGCTCTGTGAGACCCTCTGAGGAGCAGTGTCCTGGCTGCGACCACGAGGCCGTGGCCTTGAGCACGGCGCAGGCATCCTCCAAACCTGCTTATTCCTCCCATCTCTGCCTGATCCCAGGGAAGTGTGCTAGGAACAGTGTTAAAATTGTTTTCTGTCACAAAGGCTGCCAAAAGTCGTAAGGTAGTAACTGAATATGTCTTCAGGTAGGGTCATGGCACTGTTAAGGCATAAAAGGTTCCTGTGATCATCCTGTTCAATCAAACTGACTAAAACTTAGAGCAAATTCTTTTTGACACTTCTTAAAGCTGCAGCTGAAATGCCCAGGATTGGGATTTGCAGCAGCCTGCAGCAGTGGGTTCCAGCAGTGGATTTCTGCTCTGTAGTTGCCTCCATGCAGTGCTGGTTCTCAAAGACAGAAACGCAGACCCTATATTTAAACGAACACAAACAGCAGTAAAAGAGGCTTTTCCACGTGTCCTCCAGGCTATGCAGCAGGGAAGCGGGCAGTAGCAGGAGGGCTGGGGAGCCAGAAGGGTATTTGAAAGCCGCAGGTCACTTGCCAGCCTATGTTCTGAGCGAGTCATGTGCCTGCTACCAAAACGTTGCTGATGTCGCAAGCGTTTAAGGAGCGACTGCGCTTGGTGACTGCAGCACGAGGGGCCCGTTCGCTGGAGCTGAGCTCCGTATCCTGCCGAAGATGAAGCACCCGCCGGCTGCTCGCGGGATCGGCCTCGTCCTGCCCCGTCCCCGTGGCGCAGAGCGTGGCCGGAGCGCGCGGGGCCGCACCTGCCCGTGCTGCTCAGTGACGTTATAGTGACCCTTCAGTTATCTATGCATTTTTTATAATCCGTAGTGAGTCTGTAGGCAGCCAGCCATGTTCACTATGCCTTGTATGTCTGATGTCATATTTTAAATTAACCTGTTAAATACAGCTTAAAATATTTTTATTTTATTTATTCTGTTTTTACTGAAATATCCTGCATTATTATGTTGATGTATTTGTCTTTTCTGGACATGATCTTGCGACAGTCTCCACTCTGTGTACTATAGGTTGCCTAAAAAAAAAAAAAAAAGAAAAAAAGAAAGAAAAAGGTGGGCTTTGTAATTATTTGTAGTCACATTTTTATTGAAGTCTGTAGAAAAATCATGTAAAGCTAATTATTTTTTCCAATGCAAGTAGTGAGTCAGAGATAAGAATCACATGTCCCTCATTTCATTAACACACTCCTTTGCAGAGGCAGGAGCTTTTCAGTTACAGTCAGTGACTAGAGCTGGAGCCTTTCTTTGGAAATCTGCAGTGCTGGCTGCAGGTTTTACTGAAGCCACTGAAACTATTTCACTGGAAGGGGAGAAAAGGAGTGTGGGAAGCGGGAGCCTGTACAGGCCACCTGCAGGTTGGTTAAATAGGAGTTACAAAAATCACGTGAAAGGGCATTGATTTTACTTAAAAATAAAATGACTTTTTAGCGATACCCTTTGGGTGCAGAGGTACCTGCACCTACCCAGAGCGTGGGCCTCTGTGACAGAGCTAGAAAAGCTGTGGGGTAACTCATGGTTTCTGCCAGCTCTGTGTCACTTGCATCCCTTTATTTTATCTAGCCTCATTAAATGATCTGTGAGTTGTCAGTAAATCCCATGTGGCAAACAGAACTGTGCTTACTTCCACAGCTAACGGGGCTCAGCCTCTGCAGCATTGCCATTAACACCGTTACTTCTTTCTTGGACAAGTTAATTGCATAATACATTGCTAAAAGCTGTGCTGTACAGGCAGCAACAGTAGGTTGGATTGAGCTGAACAGCAGTAAGAGAGCAGGCAAAAACACCCACTGTCTAGCGGCAGAGCTCAGTGTTACAGAAAGCACCTGCCTGACACTGAAAAGGACAATTTTCCCTGCTGTTGACCCCTTCTACACACTTAAATGTAATCTGTTCTGAGAATAAATTAAGCTGCATAAAGTGATTGTCTCAATTGTTACTGGTCCATGAAACTGGGGATTTTTTTCTTTTGTCATTTAAGAATGTGCTTCAGGGGAGGGGAAAATCACAGTGGCTGTTTAAAACCAGAACTGGTATAAATGGACACTTCTGTGCCTGGAAAGCTGAATTAACAGTTTTCAGGAAAAAAAAACACAAATACATAACTGGAAACACAAAATTGTTGATATGAGCTACAGTTTTTATTGTTTTAAAGTCATACTAAAAAAAAATGTTATTGAGCACACAGGCTTCCACCTACAGCCGTCACGAGTGACGCACGTGTTCCTCTCTGTCACACTCCTTGTTGAGTGTCAAAGCTGGTGACCTGCAGGATCAAAACTTCCACCACCGGCTCTCTGATGTTCTTGGTTAGATGTCAGGACAGTGAATGGTTTAACCTCCGTAATATTTCAAAGACTGAAACTGCTGAAAACAACTGTGGGACATGACGATGTGTCACACCACGTAAGTACCCAGCACTTCGGTGGCAGACAAGTGTATCCTCATTTAGAAGTCATTTGAATTACTTTTGATAAGTATTTTTAAAACCTCTCTAACTTCAGAATCTCCAGGTTTCCTCTATGCATGAAAATAATCTCATAATCTTACTCTCTCTTGTTCCTAACATGTGAACTCTCTTTTCCTCCAAGATGGTTTTGAAACAAAATCCTTTTTCCAGGTCTCTGCCCTGCAAGCCCTCATGTCTAGACTACACATCCTTACCTTTGTTTGTATGTATCTGATGAATGAGAGGCAGCTGCCTGAACTGATGCTTTACTGTCATTCCCACCTTCTGAAGGTAGTGCTCATGAAATTACATTGACTGGTGTGGGCGAGGGGAAAAAATAGTATTAAAATGTTTTCTCTGTGTGTCAAACAGATGAAGATTCCTGGCTGTGTTGCTGATCCTAGATGTGTTTGCTCAGAGGCTGAGTGCACAAGTATCTTAATGAGTTGTCAGAAGAAAACTTGGGGCAACAGGTGCCTTTGCCCTTCCTCTCCTGCTCTGGTGTCTTTACTTCATTTCTATAGCCATCTATGACTCTTAGGTGCCTTGTGGAAGTGTTCTGGTTCCTTCTTTTTATTCTCCCCCTTTAATCAGATCCTTGCTAAAATTTATCTGTGTCCCTTTTATCCTCTGCTCCATTTATAAGACAAATGTAGATGAATTCAAGATATTTTATCTTTGCTAGAAAGGGGGAGGAGGAGGAGAAGGGAGGAGGTCAGAAGGCGACAGCTGTTTCCCAAGGAAGACAAACTACGCTGCATTCAGCTTCTATTCAGATGACTAGTAATAACATTATTAAAAAAAAAACAGAAATGAACTTTATTTTGCCTGACAGCAGTAGATCTCTCCAGCTAAGAACAGCTTGGGTTAAGAATGTTGCTGAAAAGCAGTTATGAGATATGGCAAACTCAGACATGACATTATGACAATCCAGTATTTCTAGCATGAGAATATGCATCTACTTTTCAGTGCTTACCTATTTTCTAAAGCACATTTGAGTAGAAAAAAAGGAGTTAAATATTAGAAGACCTATGTATGACTGTGAGTGTATTTGTCCAGTTGCCCAGATGAAAATCCATACACCATTTTAGAAACAAAGATGATCTCAAATACTGTGGATTTCAGGAATAGCTATTTCCATAAAACAGAATCTCAGTTAAAAATCTATTTGATATTGAATATTTCTACAAAGCTATGCAGGTTATGGGAAAAAAAAATGTTTTAACTTGCCCTTTTAAAAGTATGTGGCAAGTAGCTACACAGTTTTGACCTCCCTCCCCCAATGGTATACATCCACGGCATCCACTTAAAAAGGTAGTTATCAGTTTAAAATGATTAACAGGGCTATTTTGCAAAATTTCCCACCCGTGTTTCCCACAGGCATGATTATCCCGCATTAAGGTACTGTAATCTAAGTGTAGCAAGGTGTATTACAGTATGTGGGGATATTTACCTTTTCTGTAAAGGCAGGGACAGTGTTTGAGGGTTCTCACAGCCACGGTCGAGGCTGCCTGCCCGCAGCAGGTTTGAGCGCCTTAGGCAGAGGGGCTGGAAACAGGCCCCGACTCAGCCTCGTGGCTCCAATCCAGCCATGCCAGCAGTGATGGGCTGGAATCACCGCTCGGCTTCCTTGGGGACTTAAGTATGGGACTATCACCGGGGGCAAGACGATTTCCACAGGCTTCAGCACAACCATCCTGTCCTCTGCCCGCGCCCTCCTCGCGGGCGGCTGCCGTTCGCACACCCTGCCAGCGCACGGCACGTTGGACACGCCGGACACGTTGGACGGGCGCTTCCCAACCTTGGGGAGGGCTGAGTCGGAGGCGGGGACGGGGCCTCTCCTCAGCTGAACGGAGCCACCCGTTGCGTTCACGGCCTTCTGCTCGGTGCTACCTCCTGCCTTCCACGCCGCCTCTTTGGCGGGAGGGTTGGGTACAGGCTCCTGATGAAGGATCTGATCTTCAGCCTTCGTCTCTGCCCCATAACCTGTGATACTACTTGTGTGCTGTGTCATTCTTGGTTTCTTTTTCTTTTTCTCTTCTTTCTTTGATTTTTCTACAGCAATTCCATCTAGTAATCCTTTTGCTGCAGCACGAGCCAAAATGTCTTGAACAGACAATTTTTCAGAAGAATCTTTCTGAAAATAGCAAAGGGGACACAGGTCACAACTCTGAGCTGTGAACTCCAGAAACCAACTTCCCTGCTACACAAAACAGACTTTGCCCTCTGCTGGCTAAAAGACAGGGAACAGAACTGTGGATGCTGTAAGGTTTGTGTCTCCCTGAACAACTTGCTCTGTAACATACAAATTGAAACACAGAAGTTCCATCCCCATACGAGGAAGAACTTCTTTACTGTGAGGGTGACAGAGCCCTGGCTGCCCAGAGAGGTTGTGGAGTCTCCTTCTCTGGAGATCTTCAAAACCTGCCTGGATGCCACCCTGTGCCACGTGCTCTAGGTGACCCCAGAGCTCACCCTGGAGCAGGGGGGTTGGACTAGATGATCTCTAGAGGTCCCTTCCAACCTCAACCATTCTGTGATTCTCTGTGTGACATCTAGCTAACACACATTAAGAGTAGGCATACCATCTATACCATCTGTAATGGAATACTGTATATGCATAAATCAAGTAATTACTAAAATGTGGAAATATCAACATTAAATGTGGATAGCTTTCATGATAATGAAATCTTTGCTCATAATGAATGAGCAAGGAACTCTTGGAACTACATCAACTAGGAACCAGGTTAATAACCAGATACATAAAAAGAAACAGTGAGTAAAGAAATTCTTTACAGCTCGCCCAGGAAAGGGGGAGGTATCTGAAACCCAGAAAATTCAGCTTAGCCTCTTCTCAGTACAGAGGCTATGACACATGAAAAAAGCGTATTTCCAGCATTACCTAAAAGTTGCCCAGTGCTGCAATTAGGAGCAATCAGTTCTGTGAAGTAAAATTTAACTAAAAAAAAAAAAAAACCAAAACCCTCAAATGAACTACCTGAACTAAAATTGCTCATTTTTCTGGAGAGAGACTATGGTAGAAGCCTGCTAACTCAGACAGGGGAAGAAGTACCCTGCAGTGAAGGGAGGTCACTAACAAAGCATTTAAAAGCTTTTTCATGTCTCATTCTTTTACTTCGAATTCTTCCTCCCCAAGACGCACACCTCTTTCAAGCACTGTAAATTAATATGATAGTAGTACAAATAGTAAACAGGATTTAATATCCTTAATTTTCAATGAAATTTTAAGTGGCTCCCTCCTTCCTCCTTTGATGAAGGAGTCCTACTTTTTCTCAGGCACAAGAGGAAAATGTTGATGCACAGAAGAGTTAAACTTTCCCTTTAGAACCTTTTCTAAAGAACCACGCAAAAACACCAAGACTTTTTCATTTCCTTAGCAAAAACCCACCACTTTTTAAGTGAGATTCACATATGCCTTCGTTTTGGAAGGAAATATAAACTATTTTATTCCATTTATAATGAAGTCTTAATCTCCACTGATGACACTGATCAAATATGAGCACGTCTCGTTGACACAGGCTCAGTAACTTTAACAGACCCCACTTACTATGATCCTGATGCAGCTACTTCCTTCCAAACTCGGCAGCAGTCTGGCTTCTCTAAGACATGCCCAGCACACAAAAGACTGTGCTGGCAAAAAGATGAGCCAAAGTAAAAGGCACATGTTGAAAAGTTATGCTCAAAAATACCACTCCAGAAGTTGCACGTTTCCACTGCAGTTACCTCTAGAAAAAACACTCTCCTTTGCTCACCTCTTCTTTGGTCAATTTAGGACAACTGCAGAAGAGCCAGGAAGTTTTTTTTTTTTTTAAAAAAAAGTTGCATTTCACATATTCATTAATAGAAAATAGCAACATCTTTTCTTTGAAGTTTTTTAAAGTGTTAATTTTCTCTGCTTACCTCTCTTTCTAGAATAGCTAAAAAGCAACAATTAGAAATTTCTGATGGTTCCATTTTGAAAAAAAAATCAGTGGAAGACTTCGAATTGGAGCAAATAGGAAAAACAGGAGGAGTGAGCCTGTAGAAAGCAAACAAATGACCAGAACAGAATATTTAAGAGATCTAAAAATAAGTAAAATAAGATCTAACCAAGAACTAAATAAACAAGGATATACTGAGTAATTTCCAAATGTAATGCTTTCAATGACAATTTCATATATCCTATCTCCATTTTAAAAACAGCATCCCAAGAAAGCATTGTGGATTCATCCTTTTTAGAACAGATCTTAAATGCCCACCAGGTAGTAAATCTGTATGAGGTCTGCAATTATTGGATTATCAAATTATCCATGAAGGTGAGGAGTGCTCTCAAAATTCTGTAAGTACCAGGCAGCAATTGTAAGGATATTTTTTAAAATTAATAAGCACATGATCTTAATATATATATATAAGCTAAAAAAAAAAAACAAAAACACACAACTTCTTAGGTTAAAACCCTATTTGTAGTAATCATCATCCAATTGCTCCTATTTTCAAAACACAGTTTTGAAATGCATGAATGAGGATGAAGTAAATAACCTAGTCTAGTGTTTTTCCTATACTCCAGTGATCCCCTAGCTGTTATAAACAGACCTCAAGGACCTCATGGCAATGTGTGTAAGTTAGGAATGTTGGCTTGTAAGGCCACTAAATCGGAACAAAGCTGCTGCAGGAGAGAAAGATGATGAAGTGCCCTAAGGCAATTTTAATGTTCTTCCCACATTGCTGGTAACTTCTGAGACACACCGGATGATCCAGTGATCTTCTCAAGACTGAAATTTAGCAGGACTGACTCCAAGGCACACATCCCTGCCCTACATCAATTTTTCCTCTACATGCAGCTGTTGACAATGTGGACCTTTATGCCAGGTAAATCCACTGCTATAAACTATAAATCCATTGCCATAAACTCTTTGACCTATGCTTTGAATGAGCTCAGCTCAGAAAGTGGGTACATGTTTGAAAAAGCACTTTTTGACAGTTTTGTGGCCTTAACATATACAAGTTTAAGCTGTATGGCCTCCTCCCAAAGCTCCAGGCCAGCCTCGCTTGGTTCAGCACCACTCCAACAAGGCAGAGTAACTCTAGCAGATACAATACAGAAGATAAATCCAAGTGACCCAGCAGGTTCCTGAAAACCCTCTATTTCCTTGAAAGAGGAAATTAATACAAAACAGCTCTGTGATAACCACCCAGGATGTTCTGTTCCTCTAACCTGTCCGTGAGGAAGGCTATAAATTCTGTGCTATCCTGCGTTTGTTTAGTCAAATGAATCACTTGAATAACCCCGAGGAAAGGGCACAAGGAATAGTCACGAGTAATACGTGTAGCCTAACAGGATGAGCTTTCATCTGAGACTAGCATAATCCCACTATATATTTTATTTATGGTGTTTTATTACTGCTCTGTTTACACTGATAATATATAGCTTTATTGCAGCAAGAACTATGCACAAAAACATCCAAGAGGTGTGTGTGCCAGTGAAGGAGGAACTGATTCTGGAATCATCATTTTTTCAAGTTCCATCAGTCTTCAATTGTACCCTGGCTCAGGTCCGCAAAATCCTAACGGGATCTTTATCTTTCCGTTCTTAGAATCTGAAATTGCCCTATATTTGAAAATAACAATTTGGGGGTATATCAATTTTCATGATTCCGCAAAAGATAGAATGACTTCTGTTTTCTGGAACAACCTTCTGGAAGGTTTCTGGAAAACTTTTTGTGGAGGATTTTAGGGCTGCAAGAGAAAGGATTTTTCCGGGATACAGGGAAAAAAAAAAAAAAACTCAGAATTTCATAAAATCATCATTTATGGAAAAGCATTTATATGTACTATTTGTGTCCAAACAGTTCAGAAACTATTACGTTTCAGGATCTCTCTAGTTACTGGACGTGATAGACTTCACAGAATTTCAAATCCTAAAGGAAAACACAGGCTACAGAGAAGTCTCCAAACACTTCTGGACTAGCACTGTGTCATTGGCAAGACTTTCCCCGGTATTACTGCCGTTACAAAAGAGCAGTCTGCCAGGAGTTCTGTGCTATCAGTAATCTCCAAAAAAGATGGATGATGCTTTACTGACTCTTACCATTGCTACTCATTCCTTTTTAAATTTTTAGGCTTGGCCTAATGGTAATGGTAAATGATCACTTACCATTTTAAAACTAAGAAATTTAAAGGTAATAAATGATACCCTGAGTGTCTGGTTTTGCTGCTCTATTTATTTCAAATCTAGAAAGTCTGCAAAGTTTAAAACACTCTGTTCTGCTGAATATAAAAGGAACCTGTTTGTTTGTTTCTTTTCCAGAGGAAAAAGCCCGAAACTGATACTCCTTTTACCTGGGCAGTTACAGTATTCTGTGATTGCTCTGTTTTTTATTCCCTGTTTGTGATGCTGAATACCAAACACAGCACCTGCAGGAGCCTGACCGAGCCAGAGGTTGGGAGGTGAGCATTTACCAAGTGCATAAGTCATCCCAGCTTGAACTCTAATAACAGTTATTTTTCCCTCCACCTAAGGATAAGCTCCCAATGGAGCATGGAACAGGAGATGCCTTGTGTTCAGGATAGATGCATTCACAAATTCACACAGAAAAGCTGAAGTAAATGTTAATAAATGCTTAAGTTTAACCTTAACTTTAGCAAAAAGCAGGGAAAAAGTTTTGGAAATATCAACTTTTGTTATCCTTGAAGTTCCTCCATAGATAACACTGCTTATTGCATACCTATATGGTTGCACTTTATTTCCTTCCACTTGAGAGTCCAGTGCTTTGTTCACTACTAATTCATTTTCTTCTGGGTAAACTGAGGAAGTGCAGTAAACAATAGCTTGCGCTTTGTTAACTACAGAAATGAAAAGAAAGAATTATTCACTTTTAACATTATTAAAACAAAGTGATTCGGTAAGGGTTGAAAACAACATAAGGATTATAAGTATCATTTTTACCAACAAAATATGCCCTCCTACATAGGCATAAGTATCCCTTCTCTCATATTTTCCAGCAATTAAAATCTTTTCACATCTTTGCAGGTTTCAGTACAAATTCAGCACAACTGTCTCCACTAGGTTTTCACACAGCAACAAAAGGAGTGGGGGGAAGATTAGTGCAAAGGGAGTTTACATTTACAACTTCTCCAGACCAGAGAATGACTAAGTTAGAAGGCCAGTCCCCTACAAAAACCCCAAAGATTATTGTACTGATGGCTGCTGAGTATGAGGCCATAAGGGTTTTAGTTACATATTTATTGTTAGCTTATAGAGTAACCAACATATTTTTTCCCCTATATAAAAACTGGTGATAGTACCACGGCAGTGTCTCTGCAGAAATCTGAGAATGAGTACACTTACATTTCATTGCATGCATCAACTCTTTAAGCTGCCTCTCAGCAAGAATAGTGAGTTTGTCCTCAGATACAGATCCTTGGAAAAGGTCTCTAAGCAATCCTGCATCTAAATGCAAAGAGTTGTAAATTTAAGCACACTTCTTTATACAGTTCCTATTAGTATCTTAGTATCTTAAAATTCAGCTGCTTGCAGAAAATGCTTCTGCAGCACACTTGATGATTATTACTGGTGCAAGAGAAGGTAGATTTTACGAATTACCATACCAAGTATGCCTAAAATGATTGCTCTTTTCCTGTCTTTTTTTTTTTTTGGTAATTGCTACTGCATCTTATTTAATTAAATTGTACAGTAAATAATTCAATTATATAAATGATCAATAAGGAAATATAACCAAATGAAAAATATATAGAAACTGGTATCTTAGAATAACTGTTCAACCTGTAGTCTTTTTTTTTCCTTTCAAAAGAAAGGCTGAAATTGTCTTTATGAAATGATTTGAGTGCCACCTAGAAAGTTTGTTTTTTTCCTGAGTATTTTAACCAGGCCAATTAAGTTCTTGCACATTTTGTGTGGAAAAAAATCATCTGTGTGGAAAGAATCGTCTATGTAATTGATTATACATTATTTCCTTTTGTAGTTTTTTCTACAGAATATTACACTTGCAGAAATGTGCAAGTTATTTAATATATGTGTGTAGTTATAGTAGTTAAAATTAAAATTTTAAAGTGAGTCTTTCAATGAAATGGTATCATTTACTGAACCAGCAACTGTGTCCAAATCACAATACTTGACTACTCCCTCTTCAAAGCATGAACTAGCTTATTGTATCAGAATTTACCTCCATGTTCATTTAAAATAAATTCTATTGGATTGCCAACACCCACTCCAGAACACTGTGGCAGCAGCAGAATAACTTTTGCTTTTTGCAGTCTCGGGTCTGTTGGTCCAATCTCAGTAAAGTCTTCATGTAACAACTGAATATCTGAAAAAAAAAGGGGAAAACTCACCAGTGCCACATGTAAGCAAGCCTGCACAATTCAAAGTTGAATACACAGTGGTGCTACTAAAATTTCTAACAAACAACAGGCCTGTCAGACCCAGACCTGCCAAAAGAAATCCTGCTGGCTTCACAAGACTGAGGGATTACACCCTAGCACCTTCCACTGCTGGGATCCCAGCGCCTTGGTGCATTCTGCTCCGGCTGTGTCCTCTTCAGAGGACAGGTTTGAATAGGTTCTGCACGGGTTTTAAATTAGCACTCAAAAGCCACACAGCTCAAAACCACACAAAAAGCAAAAGCAGGACACCAAATACACAGACCAGGAGCTTCCAGGCACCAGCGGTTCCATACCAGCTACTTCGATAGAAGACTTCACCCTGACATTTGAGGAGCCTGCATCTGCGACATGGATAACCTGCCACTTTTGATTAACTTGACTGTAGCTAAAGAGTTCTAGGTTCATTTTGTAGCAAAAAAAAAAAAGCTTCCCTAATATTCACACAAGAAATCTTAAAATTGCGGTAGAATTTTGTCATGTTCACAGATAATGCAAACATCTGTATCACACTATATGCACAGCAGCTCCTTAACACATACTTTTACATCCCACATGCCTGAACAAGTTCTTCAGTTCAGCGTCTTTTGCTGGAGATTTTACACCACAGACAAAGATTCTGGCCATGCTGTGATTTGTCAGCACTGACAGATGGGCAATGGTCAGACGGGAACCCATGTGAGCCACTACAATGTCATCATCTGCATTCAATAGAGCATGCACAGAATGCACAGCCAGGCTGCGAGACTTATCCTGAAAAATAACAATGCGAAAAAATAAAGTTTTGGCTTCTACAAAGATTATCATTTTGCAAAGGAAAATTTCACAACAAATGGGAAAGACAAAAAAAAAATAATCACGGATGACTAGTAATATAAAAACAACCACCTTACTAAGCCAAATTCATTAAATTTAAAATTTATTCTAAATCTAATGCCTAAGAAAAGTAAAATCTATAGGTGAAGAGAAGTCAGCTCCCTAAATAGAAATAGTTATGTGTGTGCCACTTAACCTATTCAAATACCTCCCTATCCCTCCAGACAAGGTTAGAGATCCTCAGTTTGAGGATTCTTAAAAGAGCAGTTTTTGGAATTTGTCCCTATGATCTATGGGCTTCATGTACAGTTCTTTTCTGTGGATCATCTACTCAAAGTTTACATTTTGAAATGAGACACATATAATCAATTAGTATCTTGGTTACTAAATTTTTAGGCTAAAATTTCCAGAAAAATGATAAGCATTGAGTGGAAACACTCTTCCAAAGTTTCTGCCATGCACTCAAAAATCATTAGACTCTTTAAAATTGAGTGTTTTTCTAAGGTTACTCCACACCACCTGTGTCTGCAAAAGGAATCTCTGGATAACCTTCCTAGAGGTCCTACTGATGCCAAGTTATGAAAGGGATCAGTGGACTTGATGGAGATTGAGGAACCACACTGCCTAAAATATGAAGCTGCATGATTACACCACTGCAAACATGCAAGGGCAGAAGAGCTACTGTGCCCATTAACATGCCATCATCTACTAAATGGGAGTAACATATAGACTTACACTGAACTCCTCACAGTTTCAGAGGCGAGGCAGTCTCTGACACTTCCAATGTTTTGATTTCAGGCACATTAAAATTAAAGTTCTATTCAAAACATCATATTAATTATGGCTATCAATTCTAAGCCTTAACATTTACGTGTTGAATAGGTAAATCATACAGCCTTCTGATTATTAAAGAAAAGGAACTTCTGAGAATGTATTCTTGCCTGAATGATTTAATAGGAACGATAGGAAAGTCACATAATACCTGACCCAACTCTAATGCGAAGCACTACAGTTTGCAGATCATATTAAGATAACTCACTCAAGGATGCAAACAACTCACCTGTAGTAAGAGTTTGTAATCTGCAAAAAGATCTAAATTAAGCAGTTCTTCTTTAAGAGAGGAAGGAAAAACCAACACATCATGGCAATGGTGGTCAATACAGTAAGTATAATGGTCCAAGTCCGACACGGATTCAACTCTTTTGAATCCCTTTGTCTCCAAACTCTTGGCAACATCCTGAAGGCTGTTAAAAACAACTCCATTACATACAAAACATTGTTAAGCAATATAAAACATATTGAAATTTGGTATTTTTGCCTGTTTTTTTCCTAATGTGTGCATTTACAGAAAGAAATACACTGCCCAAGCAGAAGGAAGGGTTCACTATTTTAGTTCTCTGAGTTCTGGTTCAATAGACTCCAGTTAATAAGTGATAAAATAAATGAAGAAAGAGTAATGTGCATCCAGAAAATGCTTCAAATCATCAGTATGTACATGCCCACATGTGCTACAGGTCATCCTGTAGCAAACTTACTGCTCAAATGGTTTGGTTCTTTTGATTGCTTTCAGTGTAGTCCAGCTCACTAATAAATTTAAGGATTGACCTCTGAAATAATCATCGTGCCAAGGTAATGGTTACATGGTTAGGTTTGCAATGCAAACATTGAAAATGTTTGAAGTCATATACACCAAGAGGTTTTCTTGATGAAATGTAGCTTTACAGACTCTCAATCTTAGGCAGAGCTTGCAAAATTCTAACTAGAAAGCTAAGACACTTCCTCTATTCTGAAAAAACTATAATCTTAGCACAGAGCATTGGTCCAAAGCAAGCATATTAAACAAAATCTTGAAAACAAGATAAAACGAATAATCTATATAACAAGATGATCTTGTTCATATATCAGCACAGAACTGAAAACACTAGAGCTGTGTATATAATAATACACTGCATATAAGTTCTTTTTTTTTTTAATAATAATTTTTATTTGAAGTTTATACTATCCTTACTTGAAGTACTTTAATTTTCTCGACATCTTTGGTCAATTTTATGGCTTACAGTAATAAGTCTACTTTTAAGACATATTCTCTTTTTTTAAAAAATAGAGTTTATTTACCCATATTGCTTTTTTTAACTGATTTCCCTAGTCGTGTGGTGAAAGACTCTCAAGAAACAAAGCAGTAATTAAGAAACATTCTTTCATATATCACACAGTTAACAGTTTTTGAATACTATTACTGCTATCTACAAAAAAAAAGAAAGAAACGTAAGGCAATGTTGCTGCATTAAACAGCATCTTATAAGAAAGAGAAATTACTGAAAATTCTAAACCAAAATATTGTATATATACTTTTACAGGTTAAAAACGATCAAAGCTAATATTTGAGGTGTTACTTGCGAGTTACTTACCCGATTTTTAATGTATTTACCCAGGCATACAAAGGTAATGCTGACGCCCTCTGCTCCTGTTTCCGTACGGTTTCTGGTAGAATGTGTTCAATTGAAAGAGCATCGTGTTTGATTCGACATCTCGCTAGTGCCGCTGCCAATTTGGTCTTAAAGCTACAATGGACAGGCGTAAGTTTACTCAGCTCTGTAGCCACTTAAACCAGCTATTATCATGCAACGTTTATATCATGATTTATCTCACCCAGAGACCAAAACCAAGAGCAAAGCTTCACTTTGCAAGCTCTTACAAAAAATGCCTAGCTACGCTTTCTACCACAACCACATCTGTAAGGTACACAGCTGAGACCATATTACATACACACATGAGTGAAGTTACAACAAGCTGCTTCTGCACTGATTTTTATGTATTTTTTTTAAAGTGAGCATTGAAGAACACTGACCTCTAAATATACAGAGAAACAACAGAAGCATTACAGAAGCATTACAGCAACTACAAGTCAGGGCTTTTTTATTATTCTGTGAAAATGTCAGAGAAAGTATGCCCAGTCTTTTCTTCCCACAAGCTTTATGCATAATTTTAATAAATGAGACTTCAAAGCAAATAAAAATTGCTCGTGACCTACTTCTATTGTCAAGGGGTACTGCTTACCAACCTTCAGAAGTACATAGCACTGATGTTACCCATGAGCTCTCTGGATTATTCTAAATTCAGCAGAAGACAATTTTGTCCAATAAATGCCTGTTGACTTCATCAACAGACTGACAGAAGAATTACTTAAGCATTACTTATTTTACATAGCCACTTTTGTTCTAGTGACAAACTCCTGTAATAGCAGTGTTGCTAAATGAAACGATGTTACTTCATTCCACTACCCTTTTGTCCTAGCTCTGTTACATTCATATTTATGTTTAGAGAATACTTTATTTCTCCTTTTTAAAAAACATATGAAAAAGTTTCAAGAAAGCAGAAATAAAATACCTCTTTCCAGCATAACCATCCACATGGTGGATGCATCTTAGCTATATTCTTTTTTAATTGTAGGAATATGAAACTTCCCCATCTCATTAAAAATGAGTTTCCCAGGTTTTCATTAAAAACAAAAACCATAAAGAAACAAAATTTCAAGATGAAAGATAGCTGTAATAGTTACAATTTTAAAAAAGGAATTTGTTATGCAAATCTGGATTCTGCTAATATATGTGAAAAAATAAATTGTTAGCATGTATACTTGTATAGATAATGCTCTATTTTCCGAACTTCTGCTACAGGTTCTTCCTCATCAACAATCTCTCGGGCTTCAAACTTTCGGTCTTGTAGGTCATAAAGCATCACTACAAGTAGGCTGGTCAATTCATCTGGCTGCAAGAGGAAAATAGCTGGATAGAAAAAGTGACACAAAGCATGCCTTGCTCCTGCAAAAAGATTCATATCAGGAATAGTCTCTAATGCAAAAGGCACAGAAACTCCAATGAAACTCTAAGAACAGAAAAGCAGTTTGTTATGAGAGCCCCTGTGAATGTTTTAAAAGCTAATACATTTTTTTAGTTATTTAGCTTATCAATATTGAAAAATATTAATGATGATTAAACTAGGCTGCACAGTGGACTACGCTACCAGCTCTAGTTTTTCTTTTCATGGCAAAATAGGGAAATATGGACAAAAATAGGGAAATATAAACATATACATACATATAAATTACATTATATACACTACATAAACATATACGGCATATGTTTTTCTTTTGAAGTTATAAATCTGGTGCTTCAAGGAAATACAAGTTCAATGAAAGCTTCCATATAGTCTAAAATAACAAATGAAGAATGTCTCAGAATCACCAGAAAAGATTCTAAATACGTCAGTTCAGAAAATGCAACATTAAGTTCCTCAAAAAATTTACTTACTATTGACTGACACGGGTAAACGCAGCTATCTAGCAGTATTTTTTCAAGAAGATCTTGATCTACAAAAGAGCAATGGTAAGTTGTGCTATGAAATCTAAAAAATTTTAAGTTGGAATGAAAATTTCAAAAAAATACTTATAAATTTGTAAAGAAAAAGCTGATGTTTAAATAACACAAGAATTTCAAATTCAATTACAAAACAGCAACAGTCCTCAATATAATTCTTTACATGTAGATTTTGAATGTTTGACTTGATAAATTACTGACAACTCTTAAGCGTATCTAAATACCTGAAGGCTCCTACTAGTAATTAGGAGTCTAACTAAAACCTTCCCAAACATCTGCTGTCAAGCAGAAACAAACATCTGATATGTCGTATCACATTTCTGTACATCATTTCTGTTCACAACTCTTGGAAAAGTTTTCTACTTACATTTCAGAGCACTGTAAGCCAGTTCGTAAGACACACGCTGGGAATATTCATCTTTAAAAGTTAGCAGGGGAGATGCGGAGTCATCCCCATACTGCACCAATATCCTATCCTGAGGCTTTTTGTTATGAATGCCTTGAAAAATCTTTGCTGCATTTATGTATATCAAGTCATGATAGCCATTCTTCTCAATCAAAGTCATTGTGCTCTTTTCAGTAGATTCTTTTTCATCTGAAATTTTCATTTCACTCAAGTCTGAAATGTCACTTATAGCATCTTCATCCAAAGACATCAAGTTACTTTTGGAACTTGGCATTTTTCCAGTTGTTGAATGTCACAATCCTGCTGCCTCTGCAAAAACGAAGTTTGAATTGCTATTTTTTTTACTAGAATACACTTTTCCCTTCATTTTAAAGTTTTTCAAAAGAATTGTTTTTCTTTCTAGGTTCTAATCCTGCAGATAGGCATATATTTTCTTAACCCAATTATCTTATATCGAGACATATTTATGATAGTTTCGTCACATTATTTATTTTGCAGATACAAAAAACAAAAAAAGACTACTTGTTCCAAAGAGTCCACTCCTTTACAGTAAGTGACCCTATTGAGATTATATACAGAGCTTTTGATTCTTTTGTTTTTATTATTATTGCTGATGGACTGTTATTTCTTACTAGGGAGTCTCCTTTAAAAAGGATGTTACATGGACTTCAAAGCAGACATTGCTTCTTCCAAAACAGGAACCATCTTGAAAAGTTGCAATGAATTCCACATGCTGGTCCACGGAGAAGCACATCTGCTCCTGAAAAAACATAGTAGAGGTCACCTGAAGTTTCATCTAAAACCCATTTCAAGCATCCCGTTCTCAGTGCTTGCATTTACCCTCCTTGCTTTGGTTGCTATAATATCCACTTATGACAACATTTATAGCCTTAGAACTCGGGGTAGATGTTCAGAAAAGGGCTAACTAAGCCAATACAGATTTAATTACAGAGGAAAGATTTAAGAAAACAAATAAAATCCAGCATCTCTACAGCCATCACACAGTCATTCAGTGCTAAGAACACCTGTATCTCCGAGTGGCTGAGCACATCCTGGCCTCATCTCTGACCCAGGGACATGCTGCTACATTTAGGCTTCCCAGTTCCCAGCAATGCACTTCCCCACTGCCTCACTTACACAGGTTCTCTTGAGCAGATCCACAAGTCAGAGTAGTAACAAGGTTTGCAGAAAGAGGGAACTAAAAGCATCCATGACAAAAATGTATCACACAGTTCCTGCTGTCCAGCTCAAGAGACACCCAGGGGTTCTGCCATGGACCATGAGCCCCTGGCCCAGGACTATATTGTCTGATACTGCACATGGAATAGGGCAACATCGCCCCCGTTCTGCTTCCAAGTCACAATCCATTAAAGTCAATGCCAACAATCAGGACAGCACAAATACCAATACAAGGCATTACTTATTGCATGTGCGTTGTCTGTACAAAGCAATCTAAACATCTCTCTTCTGAAAACACCTTTATGACAGGAGCAGGCAGCCCCCCATAACACAGACTGCTCTTATCCAAGCACAAACAAGAGCAATACAGATAAGCAGCTATGGGTTTGTAGGGGAAATGTAGGGCTCTTGGCTGCTCTGATGGGCTCAGGATTTGAAAGGTTCAACAACTCCAAAACTAGACCCATGGAGAAATAACTCATGGGAACAGCAGCTGAAGGGCGCACGGGTGAGAAAGGGCAAAGCTCTTACATTTGTATTTTGAGGAAGCTTGTGAACAAGTTAGAGATAAGCTTTTTCTCACCCACTATGCCCCTTGAAAAAGAATAATATATCCTCACACCCTCATGAGATGTTCACCAAATTCAACAACCTGAAGATCAGCTAGTTTACATATTTTAAGAGATGGTTTTAGTCACTGCTTCCCCAAACCATTTTTTTCACCATATCTTCACCAATAGAGTTGCCAGTGAAATGGAACAAAATTCAATTCCTTTACTTGAATGCCCTCGGCTTTGAGTGAAGCAGACCACACACTGCGTGATATAGCAACTATGAGCTACATCAACAGCACCAGATCAACTCAGTAATTTTGGCACATTCTATGTATCTATATAAGCAGCAAACAGGGAAAAAAATACACATTTTCAGTTGGAAGCATATATGTTACTTCAATTAAAGTCAACTACCATATAACATTCAGCTGGTCGGATGGCTGCGGTTCTTACTGGATTGAGGAGAATTGTGACATTTATTCACAAAGGATTCCCACTCCCCCTCCAGCAGGGTCACCAATTCCTCTGCTTGGATACCAGCACTTCTGTTTCTCCCCCTTCTCCCTCCAAGTCCTCTGCTTGGATACCAGCATTTTTGTTTCTCCATCTTCTTCCGTCACGGGCTTTTTCAGCGGCCCTGGCTATTACACAGCTCAGGAAAAGCCGCCAACAAGAAGCCCCCAGCACTCCTGCCCTATCCCTGACTCTCCTGTCCCTATCCCTGACCCTCGGCAGGCACCTGGCTGCCTAACACAGCTCCGCATTGACGGGAATTCGGTTAAACCGGCTCGCTGCGCACCGACCGCAACTTTCCTCGTTATTTTCACGGAGAGGCGCCACCCGA